TATCTCATTTGATTTTAATAGCAACCCTATGCAGTTAGCAATTTTATCCCCAAATCACAGGTGACAAAACTCAGGCTGGAGTGATGATTTGCCCAAGATCATGAACTTGTAAATAATGCAGATGGGGCAGACCCAAATCTTTTGACTCCGAGTCTTGTGCTCTTTCCAGTAAATCCTAAGTATCTCATTGTTCATACTTATAAGACTTCAAACTAGGATTAGCCTGTGGAACTTCCCTCAAGTTTATGAGTATTTTTACACACAGGCAATAAGCAAGTAATCTTTCAAATTTGGTATTGATGGGATCTAAGATCTAAAATCACAACAGATCAAAGTTTATGACCTGCTTTTCTTAGTGACAAGGTATGGAATCAACCTAAGTGTCCATCAACAAATGAACAGATGAGGAAAATATCGTGTATACATGTATGTGTATCTGTTTCATTTCTACTTTTCTGTACTGTTCAAATGGTTTTTAGCCATGCTCAAATATCACATTTTAACATTTGAACAGATAAAGAAAATGTGGTGTACTTATGTATGTGTATATATGTATATACACACACAAAATGGAATATTATTCGGCTTTAAAAAAGAAGGAAATCCTGTCATTTGAAAAAATGTGGATGAACCTGGAGGACCATTATGCTAACTGAAAAAAGCCACATACAGAAAGACAAATACTGTAAGATCCCACAGATGTGTGGAATTTCGAAAAGCCAAACTCACAGAAGCACAGAGTAGGATGGTGGTTGCCAGGGGCTGGGAGCATGGGGGAAATGAGGAGATGTTTATCAAAGGGTACAGTTTCTGTTAGGCAGAATGAATAAGCTCTGAAGATCTAATGTACAGCATAGTGACTATAGTTAATAGAACCATATTATATACTTGAAATTTGCGAGAGAGTAGATGCTAAATGTTTTCGCTAACAACAACAAAGATAATTGTGAGGTGGTGGATATGTTAACTTGATTGTGGTAATCATTTCACAGTGTATAGATATGTCAAAACACGTTATGTACTGTAGATATATACCCTTTTTGTCAATCATTCCTTAATAAGGCAGAAAAAATTATTGCATTTTCCACATCACCTTTTGGGATTTGATTTCCTTCTTTTTCTGTACACAATTTACCTTACGATGGGTATGAGACTGCTTTGTGTTTTAGCAAAGAAAACAAATCTGAAGGCAAATATATACTCTTGAATTGATTCTTATGTAATTGAATCTTTTGTAATTTGCATTCTTAGAGTTGCAGCTGGATCCGTGTGTATGCGTGTGTGTGTGTGTGTGTGTGTGTGTGTGTGTTTGTAGATATTAATGGCCTTACATTTAATTATGTGATATGCTC